TAGTCAGAGAATCAGAGTAGAGAGATGGCGAAGGAGGCGGAAATGGGTTAGAGGAGTATATATATAAATATTTATGGGCTGGGTATTGGGTTGGGCCTTCAGGTTTTCGAACGGGTCGGTTGGGCAAAAACCAAAACCCACCCGGTCCACTAATAATTATGGATAATTTTGGGTGGGTTTCAGGTTTGCTGTTCGAGTCGGTTGACCCTACCCGGTCGGATAATATCCGAAATATCTGGTCGGGTATTGAGGTTGGGTCGAGTTTTGCTCAGCCCTACGCCTATAGACATGGTTTGTTTCTTACAAAAGTCCAAGTCTACACCATCCAATGAATTCATTTGTAATGTTTGAGATTTTTTTATTATACATTGTCACTTTGTCTAATCATATAACCTGATCGCTGTCATGATGTTTAGATTAATTTATGAATGTCAGAAAAGTATTTGTTGTTTAAGCTTGAATTTTCATAAACTTTATATAAATCAAAGGAATTCAATTCATTTAGAAAAAGTGTATAGACTTTTCAAAAGTCCACCAATTTAATTAGAATGTGTTATGTGTAGGATCACAGGTGTTACGGCAGGCATTTGCATACTAATTGAAGCAGGGAGCAAAAATTATAATGGAACGGTGAAGATCCTAGGCATTGAAGTGGCTATTTGCATTTTTCATTTGGCTTGTAGCGTTGTTTACTTTGTTATCGCTGCTTCCATTCGTGGCGTTGATTTTCTCGGCGATTATAAGCCTGACAACATCTTTCGATTATAATAGTGAAATGAAGGACATCGGCAAAATTGATGAAGATATATTTATTTATTTATTAATGAATTTTCTCATTACATCAAGTTTTGTCTTATTATTTATTTATCAAGTATTAACTCTTCTATTAGTAATATTTAATTTAAAATTTTGTCTTATTATTTATTTCTTTAATTAAATCTTTATTACATTCACAAATTAATACATCACTTAATAATTTAATCATAAGAGAGCAGATCGTACTAACTTTAACAAACAACCTCCGATGTCTCAAAAAAATGAGAGACCATCTTCCCTTCTTCATCCTCCTCATCCCTTCTTCATTCTCTTTTTCTCTACCTTTTTATATCAAATTTTTTATATTATTTGCACAAAATCAGCTTATTCATCTTATTCCATCTATTTTTATTAATTTTTTATTTTTTTCAAATTACATGTAAATTTATCACACATACAACTACATCATTCATTTGGATATATATAGACAATTAAATTTTTTGTTCACCCAGACAATTGAAATTGATCACACCGACAACTAAAGTTGATCACACAGACAACTATTGTCTGTATGGTAAATATTGTCTGTGCACACAGACAAATAATTGTCTGTGAAACATGAAAATATTGTCTGTGCACACAGGCACTGCACATATATTGATTGATTTGCAAGCTAGTGGATGTCAGTGTCAGACGGCTGTCAATCTACTTTTTACAAAAAAAAGTAAATGTCTGTGCACACAGACAAAAGTTGTCAGTGTGATTGTCTGTGTCCACAGACAATTTCGTATCAATTGTTTGTGACCGACATTTTGTGTACAACTTGTGTACAACTTGTGTACCTTACATTGTTGTATTTATTTTGCTTCCTTTCGGACTTGCAATACATGAAGCTACTCACATCCACCTAAACTATGGTTTCATTTTTCTTTCTAAGATTCAGGTTCATTTGGTCACATCCACCTAGTGATAGATGATCGAGGTCCAAATGAACTTTTCAGATTCTGCTTTCAATACATTATCTATTTCTGCTTCGGCTAACATAGAGAAAATTCAAAAAGCAAAAAGTGTTGAAATTTATTTGAGAAGCCAAGTAACTAGAGTGGTTCAAAAAAGTTTTTTTTAACTAGAGTGGTTCAAGGCACAATAACGGTTTAGATTCAGGGTTCAATCATAAAAGATCAACCTGATAGGAGGAGTAGCTCATTTTTTAATATAGCACTTTATTGATTCAAACTTTTCCGATGTGAGATTTTAACACCCCTCCACACGACCAGACACTTCGTCTGAATCATGCCATCATTCATTTCTTTCATCAGTTCGTCATTGCCATTTTTTTTATAGTCGTCATCATTTTTCATAAGGGGTCCACACCACAGTTATGAATCGATTTGGCTCTGATACCATGTTTAGATTCAGGGTTCCATCCTAAAAGATCAACCTGATAGAAAAAGTAGCCCATGTCTTAATATCACACTTTATTGATTCAAACTTTTCCAGTGTGGGACTTTAACAATAACATATACGTTTGACCAACAAAGTAATCACAATGGATACCATAGGGCCATTAATAGATTTTACTACAACTTTTAGGCGGCTGATTTGTTTAAGACAGTTTTAATTAGTGCACCAGATCTATAAACTCTGCATATTACTCTGTAGGAGTATAATGCGTCTATACTGAGCACGCGTTTTGCAATATTAAAATTGTGATCTAGCATTTCAATGAAGTCAAAAAGTCACATTTTTGGCTTCGGAGTATGATGTCATAAAACAAAAATGGCTCACTAAACTATCTACACTTTTTTGTTATGAAGCAGTTAGTCCATTCAATTTTAGACGCGATTTTCAATATTTGTCATCCGGAAACAATCTCTTTGTATTTTAGTAGAGGGGTATGGCTCGTACATTCGACCTCCCCTTATCCCACAGTAAGTTAGAGCCTTTGTGGTACTGGGGTGATGATGATGACGACGACTTACATTTAATATCTAATCTCTTTGGTTTTGTTATAGTCTCATCTTCTCAATGTTTCTGTTTCTAGTCATATCAGTACTAATCCGAACGAATCTTATCTACTTTTCTCAAAAACAATAACATATGGCCTAGTCGGCCTAGTCTGATCTAAGATCTTTGGTCTCACACTCTCACCTGATTAGAAGTTTTCAAATCTAATCCGAAGGTTTTTGGCCTAATCAAATTAATATAAAAATAAGTACTACCTCCGTCCCGTTATGATTGTCTCATTTTAACTTATCAGTCCGTCCCATTAAGATTATCCCATACCAAATTTGGCAAATTTTGTGTGACTCTAAATCATTCTTACTTTATTTTAACTTTATCAGTTCAATACCAAGCACATAAACCACTTTTTATTGGTTTGCGTGTCACTCTCTCTTGTCCCATTGGTAGCGGGACGGAGGGAGTAATAAACAAGGATTAGGGTGAACCAAAAATGCAAATCAGTTATTCAGTTTAGGTGCTTACTCAATGACTACATTCTTTCGAAATTAAGCTGTCTTGTAAATTAGTATATACTGTTTTGCATGGCCATTTTAGAAAAACATGCTAGGAACTGCTACTAATAGAACCATAAACAAAAACAGAGGTTTACTGCAGTGAAGACCGGATGAGAAAGAAGAAACTGATTCCAAAATCTGTGTTGGAAAAATAGCATTTACAGTTTTACACAAGACATCTAATTATGTATGCAAAATCTATTGATAAGTCCATTTTCGTACTTACATTTCTTATAAAATTTAAGCGACTTTTGGATAGAAAATAGAAAAATAAGGTGATAATCGCATTCATAATATGTTTGGCGAAATTTCGGATCAATTAAACACAAAATAAGTCAATTTAAGTAACAAATGAATTCATATCGAAAGAAGGAAACAGAATATCAAAGTGGTCCAAAAGAGCCATTTGAAGTGCAAAAAATACAGTACAAGCCAGAGAAATTTATCCATAGGTGGTCTAGTAGGCGCCCAATTTGACCGCCTAAATGGCCGCGTATGTTGCAATTGAAAGTCAAGCTTTAACCTTGACCAGAAACGGGAAAAGAGCGAAGGCTGCCGACACTGGACGGAAGGCGGCCGCCCTTGGTGATAGCCTGCGGCATAAGGCAACAGAACCAACGACGGGCCGATGTGAATTGACGGAAGGCGGCCAGACTAGGGGTGGACTCGGGCCGGGCCAACCGGCCCGGAACCGGACCGGCCCGCCACTGTGCGGGCCCGGACCGGCCCGGAACCGGACCGGCCCGCCACTGTGCGGGCCCGGACCGGCCCGAGAACCGGTTCGTTGGGCGGTTCGGGCCACCCGGCCCGGTGGATTCTCGGTTCGGGCTCGGGCCCTTCAAAAGGTGAACCGGCCCGGCCGGTTCGGGCCCGGGCCGGGCCAATTTTATTTTATTTTTTGAATTTTTTTTGAGTTTTTGGGTTGGGCTGGTTATTTTGGGCCATTTGAGGTGGTTAGGGTTGGTTTGGGGGTGAGGGGGAGGGGTGGGGGGTCAACTAGGAAAAGCCCCAAAAAAAAAAAAAAAAATACCCGAGGCCCGGCCCGGCCCGACCCGGACCCGGGGTTTACCCGGGCCGGTTCCGGGCCTCCCCTTCTTGAACCGAGGCCCGGCCGGGCCCAGGCCCGAACCGGGCCCGAACCGGCCCGAGTCCACTCCTAGGACAGACAGGAACGGAAGGCGGCCGCCTACTGTGACCACCTGCGATGAAGCGACACGTGCCACGATCGGCTACCGGTTAAGAGACATTAGGCGGCCAGATAATGATGAAGGGCGGCCGCCCTTTTGGCCGCCTCTGGAATATTTTGTTCTATAAATACCGGAATTTTTTCACAACTCAAACACACCATTACAAACCCTAATCTAGTAAGAAAAGCTCCCGTTCTTTCATTATTTCCGCAGCCTTCAACATTTTAGAGAGACGTTAATCTTCCGTATCTTTTTCATTTGAGCTTCAAATTGTAAGTTCTATATATGCATTTTCATCCTTTCAATCTGTAGAATCTGAACATGCAACTTGTTTGTTTGTGCAATTTCGCATTTTCTTCCAAAAATTGCATAAAATAGTTGTTGATGTTGAATCCAATCCAATTATTTATATAGTTATTTTCTAGCCTCAAGGTAGTTAATTATCTGAAGGAAATTAATTTTCACAAAGCAGAAAAAAGTTGTTATTATTGCATACATTAAATTAATTACTCAAAAATAGAAAAAAATAGTTACGGTCCTCATATCGGTTTAATCTACTTTGATCTAACTCCCAGTAGTCAATACAAAATTTAGAACTAACTTAGCCTATTTTTAGTTGCTTTTTTTAGATGAAGATGATGACTAGTCAGTCGGAAATGAATAATAGTGTAATGTTGATTTCGGAGTAAAAAACTTGCCAACAATTGCACATGAAGGGTACAAACCAACACTTTTTCTACTACTTGATGTTCTCTCTGTATCTTGCTAGTTCATCGACTGGAAACGCTTTACAATAAAGCCAAACATATCAACATAGCGTTGGACACAGTTGGATAAGCAACTTGTTTCGCTGAAGCTGAACTTGCTTCCTGGACCGCTGGTAATGCATTTGTCCCAACACGAACTTGTGACGTTAGCAATCAACTCATTCACCATTGCCTTTTGCTTTTCCTCTTCAGAACAACAGGATCAATGGTGGAAGGATCCATGGCATAATCGGCGGGCTGAGGGACTGCAACTTGTGGGAACTGGAAAATTGGCGTAATGGCGTAATCGCATATTTCTAGTTAATATTGGGAATATTATGAATTAGTTGTTAAAATTGGATTTTAGGTTAGTAAATTCGTGAAAAATTCCAGAAAGTCATATTTTAATTCCTACTAGTTCATTTTGGCAGAATATTATTTTTATTTAATTTTTGCTATCATACATGTTTAATTTCTTGTTAATGTTGAATTTATTCATTATATTGTCAAATACAAAAATGATGTTTAGTAGCTAAATTTGTTTTGAGGTGAATTGACTAAAGGAATATGGATTGACTTGTTAACCTAAAATTAGCGGTTAAAATTAATAAATTGGACTAGTTTAAAATAATGAAATATAATTTGTTTTGGCGTATTGACTAAAGGAATATTGATTGACTTGTTAACCTAAAATTAGCGGTTAAAACTAATAAATTGGACTAGTTTAAAATAATGAAATATAATTAATACTCCCTCCGTCCCAATTTGTAAGACAATTTACGGTCTACGATATTTGACCGACGATAAAACAAATTGATCCCTGTCAACACCCAAATTTGTTTTAGAAAATAAAATTTACACATTCAAAAACAACATTAAACCGCTACAAAACCTGCAAAAAATAATTCAAATTCCATAAACTTTTGATATATAAAGTAAAAGATCAAGTGAATAGTAAATGTAACTAAGAAATTGGGACTAGGGGAGTAATTCTTAGCCATTTTCATTAATTAAATTTTTGGAAAATTATTTCTAGCTTGTCTATGAGATTAGAAAATAATTTAAACCAATCATATTCAATCACATTAATAAAGCCTAGAAATAGGATATTTTAATAAAAAGGATTTACATCTTGTCTATAAGAAATGAATTCGAATTGTTTAAATAATGAGTTTAATTAGTTAATGAATTTGGGTATTTATTAAATAAAATTTTGGAGAATTACTTCTATCTTGTCTATGTGATTAGAATTAAATTCAAGCCAACCGTTTTGAACACATTAATGAAACCTAGAAGTAGGATAAGTTAATGAAAATAATTTCTATTCTTATCTATGAGGAAAGAATTTATTGGTCAAATTTAGTTTCCAATATCATAATTACTAGGTTCATGAATATATTCATTTCTTATTAATCAATTCATTGCCCTTATTTACATCCATCTTTAGATCATTTAATCTTTAATCATTAATCTTTTAAACCGAACCTTGATCCTAGTTGTAATTTTGCAATTTGGCATAGTTTAGAACACAATCACATTTCTATATTGAAAAAACATCCAACGATTAGCGATAGCCCGTGACTAAAATTAAATTAAGAAACCCCCTGTCATTTCTTAGAGACACGATACTCAAGAGCTCCCAGGCATCGAGAAGACGGCCGAGAAGAGCAGTTCTTCTCGAGCACCACCACACAGGAGATCCAGTGTTCCCTCATCGGACATGCCTAATGCATCAGATTGGAGAGCGGTGATGACGGGATGAGGAGTCTCCAGACCTCATTCTCAGAGTTATGGGATGCACAAGTGATAGCATTGACGCAAATGCAAGATGCACAAACTACGGCCCTGGCAGTGTTCCGAGACTATCGATTGGCACAGGAGGTCGCCATCAGGGAGATGCGACAACAGATAGAGACTCAACAAATGGAGATTGGGGAGATACGAGATTGGCTTAGGCCTAACTATGGTCCACGGGATGACACATGTGATCCTTAGTTTTTGTTTCTTCCTTAACATTTTATTGTGTTTGTTTGTTTATTCAAGTTGAACATTGCGCTGCTCTTTTGACTTGAATGCTCTTAGAAACTCACTATGGATGATGTTTGATATTTTTAAAATCATTTTATTCTTGTTTCATCGTTCCTCTTCACAAAATCTTTTCAAAACTTAAGTGTGAGGAAACAACCAAAAAAATGTGCCATTATTTCAAAACTTGTTTGTTAAAAAAATAGAGACCTCGAGGGCGAGGTCTAACACAAGTGTGAGCAGGTTGTGTTTTACGCTCAAAAATTAAAATCTTCTTTTAGAACAATCTTTTTACTATTTTTGATATGAAACATTAATCTCTCAATTTGTTATCAATCACATAATTGCTTAGAGAATCACCTTTATTATAAGAATTTACTTTTATTATTATTTTTAGAAAACTTGAAATTGTTATGGGTTTTTTGTTGCGAATGTAAAGGACTGAATTTGTTTTAATTGACAAACCCATCTTCGAGGACCCACCGATGAGCAGGCAAGACCCACAGCCCGAGCCAGATATTCATTTGCCACTAATGCTGGCCGTAAACGCTTTCAGACATGGAGGCGTTTCCGCAGTCTCCTATCTCTCATGATCTTGGACCAAGGGATGCTCGGTACGTGGGTATACTGGGGCAACATTGATGCTCTGTTGGGAGATTCTTTGTGGCAGAACATTCTATCCATACAGGAGAGGGAAAGCTTCCCATTGACGATAGAGTTTATGTGCTCTCTACGCTTCACTCATTATGGCCAGATCATCCAAACAGCAGGTGTCATTGGATCTGAGATTCAGATGAGGTTTACTATTCTAGACATTGAGCACTCCATCAAAATGTGGCTGAGCTTGGATGGAGGATGAGACTCTATGCTCTGGCATACACACAGACAGGCGAGTTTCGCGCGCTCCCGACCCATTTACCTGAGACATTCAACCTTAATGAATTCTGGCATGCACATTCTACGAACACCAGAGACTTTCTTTGGATGTACCCCCTGACGAACCGTTAGAGGCAGACACACACTCTCCTTCGTACTATTTTGTGTTTTTTTGGACGACCCAACAACACGAACAGATTGTCCAAAAAGGACTTATTCTTCTTTTGGAGTTTGATTTACCACACCCCGGTGAATATAGCGGTTCTCATGGCTCGTTTCTTCCGGAGCCAAGGGAAGAGTGTCCGCGTCACTATCCAGGCAGGGACTTTTGTCACTATCCTTGTTCAATCATTCTACCCTAATCTGGACATTTCATGATTACTACCACTATAGGATAGCATCTGCATTCTTCGATCCTCATCCTTTGCCAACATGAGGATCAAGAAGAAGCAGAGTACTCAGGAGCTCTCAGACAGCCGAGCAGTTCTTCCCGAACACCACCACACAGGGGATCTAGTGTTCCCTTATCGGACATGCCTAGTGCATCCGATTGGAGAGCGATGGACGAGATGAGGGAGTCTACAGACCTCATTTCAAAGTTTCGGAATGCACAGGTGACAGGATTGACGCAAATGCGATATACACAGACTACGGTCCTGGCAGAGTTTCGATACTATCGATTGGCATAGGGGCCGCCATCATAAAGATGCGACAGCAAAATAGAGACTCAGCAAACGAAGATTGGGGAGATACGTGATTGGCTTAGGCCTAACTATGGCCCACAGGATGACACAGACGATGCTTAGTTTTTGTTTCTTCCTTAACATTTTATTGTGTTTGTTTGTTCGTTCGTTCCTGTTGGACATTGTGCTACTCTTTTGACTCGAATGCTCTTACAATCTAACTATGGATGACGTAGGGATATTTTTAAAATCATTTTATTCCTGTTTCATCGTTCCTTTTCACAAAATCTTTTCAAAACTTAAGAATGAGGAAAGAACAAAAAAATAACGTCACTTTATTTCAAAACTTGTTTGTTCAAAAAAATTGAAATAAAATGAATGTCCAATTAAAACAAATTCAACCCTTTACATTTGCAACCAAAATCCATAACAATTTCAAGTTTTCTAAAAATAATAATAAAAGTAAATTCTTATAATAAGGGTGATTCTCTAAGCTATTATATTATTGATAACAAATTGGGAGATTAATGTTTTATATAAAAAATAGTAAAAAGATTTTTCTAAAAGAAGGTTTTAACTTTTGAGCGTAAAACACAACTTCCTCACATTTGACCTACACCTCGTCCTCGAGGTCTCTTTTTGTTTTTGAACAAACAAGTTTTGAAATAAAGACACATTTATTTTGGTTCTTTTCTCACACTTGAGTTTTGAAAAGATTTTGTGAAGAACAACGATAAAACAAGAATAAAATGGTTTTAAAAATATCATTACATCATCCATAGTCCGTTTGTAAGAGCATTCGAGTCAAAAGAACAGCGCAATGTCCAACATGAATAAACAAATAAACACAAAAAAAATATTAAGGTAGAAACAAAAACTAAGCATCGCCCATGTCATCTCGTGGGCCATAGTTAGGCCTAAGCCAATCTCATATCTCCCCAATCTTCGTCTGCTAAGTCTCTATCTGTTGTCGCATCTCCTTGATGGCGACCTCCTGTACCAATCGATAGTCTCGGAGCTCTGCTAGGACCATAGTCTGTGTATCTCACATTTGCATCAATGTTGTCACATGTGTATCCCGAAACTCTGAGAATGAGGCCGGGAGACTCTTCATCCCGTCCATCATCGCTCTCCTATTGGATGCACTAGGCATGTCTTATGAGGTTCTGCTCGGCCGTTTGCTCGATGCCTGGGAGCTCTTGAATACTCCGTTTCTTCTTGATCCTCATGTTGGCAAAGGATGAAGATCGAAGAACGCGGATGTTATCTTGTAATTGTAGTAATCATAGAATGTCCAGGTCAGGGTAGAATTATCGAGCAAGGATAGTGACAAAAGGCCCTGCCTGGAAAGTGCGGCGGACACTCTTCCTTTGTCTCCGGAAGAAAAGAGTCATGAGAACCGTCATATTCATGAGGGTGCGGTGAATAAAACTCCACAAGAAGAATAAGTCCTTTCAGGACAACTTGTTCGTGTTGTTGGGTCATCCAAAAAAAAGCCCAAGATAGTACGAAGGAAATTGTGTAACAGTGTGTCTGCGTCCACTGGTTCGTCAGAGGGTACATCCGAAGAAAGTCTTCGATGTCTGTAGCATGTGCGTGCCAGAACTCATTGAGGTCGAATGCCTTAGGTAAATGGGTCAAGAGAGCGCGAAACTCGTCTGTTTGTGTGTATGCCAGAGCATAGAGCCTCATCCTCTCTCCAAGCTCAGTCACACTGATGGAGTGCTTAATGCCTAGAATAGTAAACCTCATCCGTGTTTCAGATCCAATGACTCCTGCTGCCTGGATGGTGTGGCCATAATGAGTGAAGTGTAGAGAGCATAGGAGCTCAATCGTCAATGGGAAGCTGGCCTCTCCTATATGGATAGAATGTTCTGCTACAAAGAATCTCCAAGCAGAGCATCAATGTTGACTCAGTACCCCCACGTCTCGAGCATCCCCTGGTCCAGGATCATGGGAGATGGGAGATTGCGAAAACATCCCCATATCTAAAAACGTCTATGGTCAGCATCAGTGGCAAATGGATATCTGGCATGGACTGTGGATCTTGCCTACTCATCGGTGGATCTTCGAAGATGGGATCGTCACCTCTTCCTCCAGACATCTTTAAGAAAAAAGCAAAGTAAAATCTTTTTGGAGTTGGTTTTTTTTTTAATTGGGTTGCCTCCCAATGAGCGCTTCTTTAACATCACTAGCTTGACGAATTTCCCCTTTTGTTTCAAAATTTATGGAGATAGAGAATCTCTTTGCTTTTTTCAATTGGGCCATCGTGGTAAAGTTTGAGTTGGTGTTCGTTGAATTTAAAAGGACCCCCGTTTTCATCTTCAATCTCGACCGTTTCATAGGGGGGTAAATGGGTAAGCTTTTACGACCGTGAACAGTCTGGACCATCTTGACTTGAATTTTCTCGGAAAAAGCTTTAATCGGGATTTGAACAACAACACTTTATCCTCATCATTCAAATGACGGGCCTGGATGTGTTGATCGTGGTAGAGTTTGGCTCGTTCCTTGTAAAATTTGGAGTTACGAAAAACTTGTGCTCTCCACTCTTCCAGTTCATTCAGCTGGTAAAATCGTTCCTTCCCTGCAGCATCAAGTTTAAAACAAACATTCTTCATCGCGGCATCGCCCAAAGTGCTTTATGTTCGAGTTCAACGGGTAAGTGGCAAGACTTCCCGTATACAAGGCAAAAAGGTGTGGTTCCAAGTGCGTCATCAAATTTAGTCGACCATTCTTTCACGGTCTGGGCAACAGTTTTCTTCAGAATGGACTTCAAATTCATGTTAGCATTTTCAACTTGCCCCTGAGTTTGGGGATGGTATGCTACTCCGTTTCGATGTTGGACTCCATATTTGACCAAAATTCTGCCCATTGGATCATTGAGAAATGAGTCTCTCTGTCTATGAGAAATAAATTCGAATTGCTTAAATAATTAGTTTAATTAGTTAATGAATTTGGCTATTTTTATCAATTAAATTATTGGAGAATTACTTCTATCTTGTCTATGGGATTAGAATTTAATTCAAGCCAACCGTTTTAAACACATTAATGAAACCTAGAAGTAGGATAAGTTGATGAAAATAATTTCTATTCTTGTCTATGAAGAAAGAATTTATTGGTCCAATTTAGTTTTCAATATCCCTAATTACTAGCTCCAAGAATATATTCATTTCTTATTAATCAATTCATTGTCCTTATTTACATCCATCTTTAGAATATTTGATCTTTAATCATTAATCTTTTAAAACCAACCTTGCTCCTAGTTGTAATTTTGCAATTTGGCATACTTTAGAACACAATCACCTTCTATATTGAAAAAGCTTCCAACGATTAGCGATAGTCCGTGACTAAAATTAGATTAAGAAACCCCTCTGTCATTCCTTAGAGACACGATACTCGAGAAAAAACCTAAAGGTTAGACTCCGTTTTATTACAACGCCGCAAAAGCGGTTATCACCTAACAATGAGCCAAACACGCATACACTTGTCAGATCCTAGTATATGCACTGTGATGAAAAAGCTTGAAACCGAAAAGATAAACCCAACCATTAGCAACATAAGAATTAGAAAGCAAGAAACTACACATCATGTCATATCTGAGCGGAAGCAACAAGGCAAGAAATTGGGTTACCTTGTGAAGATAAGAGATCTTATTACTTCAATCTTCAAAAATGAGCAGTTGCAGTTGGAGATGGAAGATCTGTCAAAACCAAATTATCTCTCAAACACCATCTCTCTTCTCTTCAGATGGGACGGCTACTCAGTTTCTTGTATCTAGTAGTTCAAGAAGGCCCTTCTTCCCTGGCTTTGATGAAGAGTCAGATGGTAAAATTCCTTTCTTGATATCCTCACAGATGCTAGTAACCTACCGTGTATCAAGCATACATAGACATGGTGACTTGACAGAGATTTTTCAGCAATGGTTCTGATAATGGATGAAATGCTGAATACTTACAGTCTCTTCAGCACAATAAAGATTGGTACCGATGATTCCAGTTGCTCCTCTTTTCAACCAACCACATACATATAAACCCTTCTCAACCTCTGTAAGATGTGTAGAATCACTTAGGACACGACCTCTAATGTTTGGAACTATGCCTGTGTAAGAAACCAAGATAAGAATCACTAGCCCTCAAGTTCTTCATCCATGCTTTTGAATTTAAAAAAAAAGGAAAATAAACAAATTCCAAAAACCATGCATGATTCAGAGTACCCAAGTATTAAATATATTTGCTGCCAGACTGCACTTGTTTTACATAATACATACCATTCTTGTGATCGAAAGGTAAGCCATCTACACATATTGACTTATTACCAATGCTTTTCAAAACCAGCCTGCAAGCAGTTTCAAAGGCATCAAGAAGTATCATAGCCACACTGGTGCAAATATAGTAGAATACCCCTCCTAGGCGACATTTCTCTACATATAATGCCAAAACAAGGTTTTACCCGCATCTCATGTCCTCAAACTGTCCTGTACAAACTGCAATCTTTTTTCCAGATCCAACATCTTCAGCAAATGCACAATAAAAAAAGAAATTATCCCATCCTATTCTTTTAGTTATGTATTAGATAAATCCATAAATAGTACTATAACATAACACAAATCTTCAAATATGACCATCACAATTGTAGCTGAAAATAGGACCCATTAACTTCTAAAAGAAGAATATTCCTTTTTTAGGAATGGACAACACCTATTTTTAGCACAAAGCAGGGATACTCTTATTTGATCCCTGCTCTGTGTTGTTAAATGCAACTCATGAGTTAGTTTAGGCTATAACAGTAATTACATAGAATGAGAAGATGTCACAAAAAGTGAACTTAAGGAAATTAAATTAAATGAAAATGCAATTATTTTAGAAGTGTGCATTTCTTCCCCGATGTAAACTTCTATAAGAAAAATGGTTGTCTACCTCTAAGAGTTGTTCGCTCAAAGTGCACCCCAGCCACATGCCCAGACCTAGAATCTGATTCTAAAAACCTGTCTGGTTTTCGAAAGAAAACAAAGTGCAGTTCACGTTGTCCAGGAGAAGGGAATAAAGATGTAGGAGTAGCTGCCTGAGACAGCAACTCATGAACTCTCCTATTGATCCGATTATTCTTGAGTACATCCTATTTTGTGCAGCAAATTGAACAGGCAAACAATTTGTAAGTATTGCAAATGTGTGGAATGTCAAGATGCCAATGCAACTATTGGTCAAGGTATCAGGTTTTCAGTAATATACATCATGTAAATTGAACTGGAAGGAAACAAACCTCATCAGCAGGAGTTTTATGCAGGTCTACTCTGTCAATGTGAATGAACAAATTCTTGATACCTGATGCAATACAAGGATTCAGCTTATGCAATAATAAGGATGTTCTGAATTGGACTGAAATTTTATAGTATGGTCTACTAAATGTCTGTTTTAGATGTATTTTATAACTGCCAAAAACTGGTTTGATCTAAATTGGTTTGTTTAAGTCTGGTCCGATCTGGTCTGAAACTAAAACCAGTCTAATTAAAAACAACTTTTTTCTTACAATAATATTCTAATTATTACGGGGAAAAGATCAGAACACATGTAAGTGGTAGTCGATTATGGACAGGGCTTGTGTTAGGGCTCTTTACTTTCGACTAAATGGACTTATATTTGGAATAGTGACTTAATCGTTCAACCAGTAAGTCATGTATACTTATGGCTTAATTGGAAACATAACTTAATCATTCAATCAAAAAACTGACTTAATCACTAAGCTGGAAAATAATAGTCCTTCCCATTAAGACACCTATTAAGATGTCTTTTCTGTCAATTTTTTTTAATAGATTATGGAATAGAATTATGTCAATAAATGAAATTTCTCATTGACATTATAACCCAAGAATAACATTAAATTGATTATCTCAGACGGTTTATTCAGCACACAAAACCAACAACCTCATATACTAATACACATTGTTCTAAAAATCGTTCTAGGTGTCTGACTAGTCCCCGCCTAGGCGCTAGGCGGTGGTCGGGCACCTCGATTTGGCGCCTAGTTTAGGCACTAAGACTAATTGATTTGGCGCCTAGGTGAATTAGTCGGTCGCCTAGGGTGCCTAGTTGCCTGCCCAGAGCGCTTAATCAGCCGCCTAGACATCTAGATTCATCGAACATTTTTTTGTTCTTTTTTCTTTTAGTATCCTAAGAGATATATGTACATTTAACTCTAACAACACATATGAAGAAAGCTACTAGTGAGTAAGTGAGTAGGTATAATATATTATTAAATGTGACAAGTGACAACTCTGTCATTCATGCATGTTAATGTGTATGTGTGTGTGTATATTTTTTATACACATACAAATACAACATTATGAATCATAGTTATGCAAAAATAATGATAAAACTACAGTTTATATGTCTCCGACTAGTCCCCGCCTAGGCGTCTGCCTAGCCGCCTAGGCGCTAGGCATTGGGCTAGTGCCCGACTGGCGCCTAAAGCCTTTGAGAACATTGCTAATACTACTTAATCCAGACTGGCATCTTAATCTAAACAAGACAGACATGACTTAATGGGAAAGAAAAAAGTAAATAGCCCCTTAGTCTACTATATCCAATATTTTACAAGATCGAAATACCTAATTAGGGATGACTTCGCATTCGAAACACGGAGCATTGAAGAATCAAATTATGATTACAGAGTAATACCAACCAAGAGTTTCACGCAATTCCTTCGCGGTGAAAGATGCTTGCACCGGTCCACGTCTGCCAACAACATAAACTTTTCTGCAAGTAATTTAATCAGCCACCCACATCAGCCAACAACATAAACTTTTATGCAATTCCTTTTCTGATCACATAAACCGTTACAAAAAGGACCTTATAGAACTCTCTTCTAGAGCAGCCAAGGCATGGGAGGCGATATCAGTTTTTGCCAACTCTGCTGTTGGTCGCAAAAGCATACGGGCCATATCAAGAGCAACATTTCCCTGAACATGCCAACAAATTGTTAAATCAGAACCATGCAAATAAAATAAAAAATTAAACAGAACAATATTACCCTCATACCCCACATTTTCTTCAAAAGAGAGATAGACCATTTCGTTAACAATGGTAAATCAGTAAGACCTCTTAATGAAAGAAACACCCAAGGGTTCTCACTTACGATTTCTATGACAAATCTAACTATATTACAATCATAACAGTAATTGACAAAGGTCAGCTTAAGTATAAGATGAAGAATAAAGTATTTGAATCGCTAAATTTAAGGTGTTGACTCAAGTTCAAGCTTCAAGAGTCATTTGGTCAACCGTAAACCTTCAGTATTAGCTCATTTTGACTACTTCTAATCCTTGAAGGTAGACACATATAAGATGAAGTACCTGACCAACAATAACAGCTGTATCAGTGTTCTTCAAATCTGGAGCCAAGTATCTGCAGTCAGGATGCCCATTATACCACCAGACAAACTCTCTAGCAGGATATATCCCTGAAAAATCCTGCACGCCATATAAAAGAAGAATAACAGAAATCATCATTTTCTTGACCAAATAGCAGAACATAAAAGCTGCTCATTAAATGCTGCACATGGAAATGATAGTAGAACTGTAGAAGTATGTCAATATTATGATTTATGAGGTATACTTCACCAGGAATGCCAAGATCTCGATCACCTTCAGCACCATAGCAAAGCACTACCTACAAAACAACGAATGCATTGAAAATTGTAAATGTTGCCACTAAAAACTGATGCCCTCAGACAGAATTAGTACATAAGTATATTACCACATCATATAGATCACGCAGCTCACTCAAGGATATCAACGACCCAAGAGAGACATTTCCAAAGAATGAGCAGCGTCCATCTTGAAGTATCCAAGAAAATTGGTTTATCACATTCTGTTCTTGTGAAGTAAGCATATTAAGAGAACTATCTCAAAACAATAACACTAATCGGAATAACAAAAGCAGCGAGACCATCATCAACAACAATACAAATAATGATTATAAAATTAAAGTTGAACTGAATGAATGAAATTACGTAGTTGAGCACATTTAGCGAAAGTCCCACAGATGAAATAATAACAGTAAATCTTCAACTTGAAATAGAAGAGTGGAAAAACATAATAAAATAAGCCGTAACATTGTCTCATGATATTTTCCGTCATTTCAATTTCATTTTCATTTACCCCAGTGCCACAAAGGCTCCCACCTACGGTGGGGTAAGGGGGGGTCGGATGTACGCAGTCTTACCCCTATACTAAAGCACAGAGAGACTATTTCCGGATGACCCATAGTGAAAATCGCGTCCAAAATTGCATGGACCGACAGCTGCTTCATAACAAAGAAGCGCAGACAGTTTAGTGAGCCATTTTGCTTTATTCCATCATAATCTCAAGCCAAAAAAATGAATCTTTGGCTCCATTGCAAATGATGGAAAATATCATGTTATTTGTTAATGGATGTGGGATGTGGGATTTCATCTCATTTATGCAAAAAGATTGGAACTTAAGTTGTTATTTGTTAATGTTGGTCAAAGGACGAGTAGCGAATAGTATCGACTACTCAGAAGCACTCACTGATTGCTCGTTACTCTACACAATGATGATGATGATGATGCTTAGTGTATTTATAAGGAGGGAAACACAAGATAGCTTAAAATACATAGAATCCTAGTATTCAATTCATCTTCCCCTCTCCCAAAAAATATGGATTGTGCTATTTAAACACATCTTTAAGCTAAAATTCATCATTCAATATTCACGAGGTCTGATAGCTATACATGCATATCACTCATATTCAGCTCACAACTAATTTACTCAAAGACAAATCAATAAATATCAAGTAGATGAAATGTGAGAAGTACATGATTAAAAACTTGATTTGGCATTGCTTTTACAGTCCATGACTATTGCATTAAAGTTGGACAAGCCTGGGACCCGGTTTGAAAATAATTGAAACAATGAATACTAACCCATTTTACAAACTTCATATTTCAAGCATGTAAGATAAGTAAAAAAAGATAAAAGGGCAGCCTGGTGCACATTGGCGTCCCCACAAGTTGAAGGTCATGGGAAGGTCCCACCACAAGGGTGTAAGATAAGTAAATTTAAAAAAAGCTACCATTTCAAATAAACAACAAAAGAAGTCCAACTATTATCATCACAAAATAAATTTTTATTTTAGGTATTAAAATAAAAATTTGAGGTAACCTTTTTCTGTTCACTCATTTGCTGTTGTAAAATGTGTTTAAGGACACGCAAATTTAATTTACCAGCAGTGCCCAACACCTATCTCAGGCTATTGACCTCATAAATGTGTATATCACAAACCCACAAGTGGAAGATTAAGAGAAGATAAAAACAGACCTTGGTTTCAGGATGATCTGGAGCAACACCATATTGGACTAACCCAAATGGTGTTGGTAACCGGTCAAGTATATTGACTTCAGCTCTTTCATGTGCTTTAAGAATCTAATTTTGCAAACCAAATCAACCAATGAACAGAAAGAAAAACAAAAAATGGATTTTTAATAAAAATTAAAATTATTAGAGAAATATTATTCACCCAAGAATTAAAATGGGATAGCAAATCTAATTTAAAAAGTACCTTATCGGCAGTGTAAAATCCAGCAGGCCCACTACCGACAATACAGACTTGTAGTGATCTCGAAGAATGTGTAATGAGGCTACGAGTAAGGCAATGCAGCATTCTTGGAAAGGCCATTCCAGTTACTGATCAGAGCTTTTCAGTGTATCTTACCACCACTATTAATGCTAATTTCCCGCAAAGAGTGACTGTAGAAGCAAAAACAGAAATAAGGGTATAAGCTGTCCAGTAAAGAAGTGCTCGTGCTGATAGTAATGTTTATTATTTGTTTAAATTTTTAATCGTTAGTGGTTTCTGATAAAAGGTATAGTCAAGTTGTGCAGACTGCAAAGAACTAATCATTTAGTACAAAACGTTAACCATACTCAAACTATAGCCATAATGATAGATGTATAGCTATTCTGTTGTTGAGAGTAAAAAATCCAACTTTTGAAAGTTATGCCCAGCCGCAGCCAAAAGACGGGTAAATGTACATGCTGTAAATGGCAGTTAATTCATCGAAAGCAATCATCTCAAAGACATGCATATATATGTCTAGCCTGGCAGGAATGATTTGAACAAAAAAAACCTTGACACTGTGTTGAGAAGCAGAAAAATAAAATCAACGGGGTAAACCGTTACCCAGATAATCAACGATAAAAATACCGTTGCCCAGAGCCAAAAGGCTAAAACCAATTTTCTTCCCAGATCATCAGAATGAACCCGGGCGAGGGTATAAATAGCCTTCTACAAGAACCCTAATCAAGCCCAAATTACTTAAATCCTAATTAAGCCCATACTAACTCTACTAAATACTCCACTAATAATAGGCCCAAACTAAAAACATGACGATAAATTTTATAATAATAAATAAAACTATAATACCTAGCCCAGAACCGGCCCACGGAAGTGAGCCCAATCCCGTTCCCGCCCCATGTTCTTCTTGCTCTCTATCAATCCATCCCCCTTCAAATAACCTTGTCCTCAAGGTTGTAATTTCGCAGATCGAGGACTGAAATTTCCAACCATGGAATAGACTGGAAAATATCCTTCATCGCCTTCCGGAAACCTTTTCCAAGTCAGTTATTTCACAGTAATCATGTTGTTGGAGGTCCAACTCCTCATCGTCCTCAGCTATCATCACCCGCAACTGCTTAAAGGGGCAGTCATGCCCTGGTGTAAATGGTTTCTTACACATAAAGCATAATTCTTTAGCCCTCAATTCTGCGAACTTCTTTGGCGGAAGTCGAGTGAAGTGAGAACGTGTTGTAGGCTGCCCGGACAATCCTGATTTTGTCCCCGGGGGTTATCCACTATCCTTCGGGAAGCTGCCACTTGATTCCTGTAGGCTGTCACCACTGGCAGTCAACGGAGGGCTCGTGTTTGGCCTTAAAAAGCTACTGGAACGTACACCTGAAGGATTATAATCCTGGTTGTCACTTCCTCCACGTTGGACGAACATATTGTACCCGAGGTAATGATCGTCAGACAACCCAGGAACCTGACTCACCAACTGGACAAAGATCGAGGTAAACTCCTCCACCGTCCTTGTCTGCTTGACCTCGGACAATCGCTCAAAACGACTGCCCGTAAACCGTGTGTCAAACCTCGCCACCAGTGCCTGCGTAAACTCTTCTCACGTCATGATAGGCTTCCGTTTCCTTAACCACGTTACCCAGTACAAGGCTGCTCCTTCCATGGCAACTACAGCCGCCGGTACCTTCCTCTCTGGCGGCGTACAACTCAATTCAAATTGCTGCTCTACCCTAGCAAGCCAACCAATGGGATCCGCCCCGTCAAACGAAGGAAGCAGCGCTTCTTGCGTGCCTCGCGGATGTCGCTCAGAAGCGGCGAAGCCGCCCTGGTCTTCGAAGTCGCCGCCGCTGCTGAAGGTTGCCGCCGTCTCGTTCTGCGACGTCATCGCCACCGCCGAAGCCCCGGACGCCGTTGTCGCCTTCCCTCCGGTGGCGCCTGCCGTCGTGAGCGCAGCCAGGGCGGCTGCGATCTCACCCAATTGCGCACTCAGCGCGTCTAGTTTCTGGTTCATCGAGGCCTGTTCGGCCTCCACCTCCGTCAAACGCTCGGTGTTAGATCTAGTCATTCCGGCGGAAACGTGATCCGGCGGGTCGGACTAATTGTTGAGAAGCAGAAAAATAAAATCAACGGTGTAAACCGTTGCCTAGATAATCAACGATAAAAATACCGTTGCCCAGAGCCAAAAGACTAAAACCAATTTTATTCCCAGATCATCAGAATGAACTCTGGCGAGGGGTATAAATAGCCTTTTACAAGAACCCTAATCAAGTCCAAATTAATTAAATCCTAATTAAGCCCATACTAACTCTACTAAATACTCCACTAATAATAGGCCTAAACTAAAAGCATAACGATAAATTTTATAATAATAAATAAAACTATAATCCCTAGCCGAGAACCGGCCAAGGAAGTGAGCCCAATCCTGTTCCCGCGGCCCCGCCCCATGTTCTTCTTGCTCTCTATCAATCCATCCCCCTTCAAATAACCTTGTCCTCGAGGTTGTAATTTCGCAGATCGAGGACTGAAATTTCCAACCATGGAATAGACTGAAAAATATCCTTCATCGCCTTCCGGAACCTTTTCCCGGCCAGTTATTTCACGGTACTCATGTTGTTGGAGGTCCAACTCCTCATCCTCCTCAGCTATCATCACCCGCAACTGCTTAAAGGGGCAGTCATGCCCTGGTGTAAATGGTTTCTTACACCTAAAGCATAATCCTTTAGCCCTCAATTTTGCGAACTCCTCTGGCGGAAGTCGAGTGAACTGAGAACGTGTCGTAGGCTGCCCGGACAGTCCTGACTTTGTCCCCGGGGATTCTCCACTATCCTTCGGGAAGCTGTCATTTGATTCCTGTAGGCTGTCACCACTGGCAGTCAACGGAGGGCTCGTGTTTGGCCTTAAAAAGCTACTGGAACGTACACCTGAAGGATTATAATTCTGGCTGTCACTTCCTCCACGTTGGACGGACAGATTGTACTCCACATCACGAGCTAATTCCATGGCTGTCTCCAAGTTATCAGGGCGCAGCAACCGCAACGAACCCCGAACCAGTCCCCTTAGTCCATTCATAAAATACCCGAGGTAATGATCGTCAGACAACCCAGGAACCTGACTCGCCAACTGGACAAAGATCGAGGTATACTCCACCGTCCCCGTCCGTTTGACCCCGGACAATCGCTCAAAACGACTGCCTGTAAACCGTGTGTCAAACCTCGCCACCAGTGCCTGCGTAAACTCTTCCCACGTCATGCTAGGCTTCCGCTTCCTTAACCGCGTTACCCAGTACCGGCAACTACAGCCGTTGGTACCTTCCTCTCTGGCGGCGTACAACTCAATTAAAATTGCTGCTCTGCCCTAGCAAGCCAATCAATGGGATCCGCCCCGTCAAACGAAGGAAGCAGCGCCTCCTGCGTGCCTCGCGGACGTTGCCCAGAAGCGGCGAAGCCGCCTTGGTCTTCGTAGTCGCCGCCGCTGCTGAAGGTGGCCGCCGTCTCGTTCTGTGACGTCATCGCCGCCGCCGAAGCCCCGGACGCCGTTGTAGCCTTCCCTCCAGTTGCGCCTGCCGTCGTGAGCACAGCCAGGGCGGCTGCAATCTCATTCAATTGCGCACTCAGCGCATCTAGTTTCTGGTTCATCGAGGCCTGTTCGGGCTCCACCTCCGTCAAATGCTCGGTGTTAGATCTAGTCATTTCGGCGGAAACAGGATTCGGCAGGTCGGACCAATTGTTGAGAAGCAGAAAAATAAAATCAACGGGGTAAACCGTTGCCCAGATAATCAACGATAAAAATACCGTTGCCCAGAGCCAAAAGGCTAAAACCAATTTTATTCCCAGATCATCAGAATGAACCCTGGCGAGGTGTATAAATAGCCTTCTACAAGAACCCTAATCAAGCCCAAATTAATTAAATCCTAATTAAGCTCATACTAACTCTACTAAATACTCCACTAATAATAGGCCCAAACTAAAAACATAACGATAAATTTTATAATAATAAATAAAACTATAATCCATAGCCCAGAACCGGCCCACGGAAGTGAGCCCAATCCCGTTCCCGTCCCATGTTCTTCTTGCTATCTATCACACTGACATGGGTTGTCGATTTGTCAATAATGGGTTAATATAACCATTGAGTTCAAGATATATCTTTTGAGCAATAACAATAATCAAGTCACTCAAACAATAAAATTCAAAAGTTAACACATTCATCATCCAAATGTCAGTCTTCATTATCCCAAAATACACATTCAATCTATAAAAATAACCTCATCTAAGTTTAAAACATGCACAGAAGAGAAAAGTAGAGAAGTATAGATAGTAGATACATTAATCTTATGGCTTCTAAATGGTCTCTAACACTGATAAACTCGTGAGTTATGGAAGCCTACACATTATTGCTTTAACTTTTTCAAAGATCTCAATTATCATTCATCAAATAAAGGCTGTGGCTTAGAATCTCTTCAAAACCCCAGTTTTGGGTAAAGGTAGCAGGTTCCCTCATCCTTTGATTTTTTAAAATCCGTGATTGAAAACAGAAATATGATTTATTAGCACACCATTTTCAGCTTGATGCACTACCCTAATCACGATGACAATGAAATCAGCATTGTATGGGGTCTTAAGCCAGTTGACAGCAGATATATAGTGCATATCTTTTAAAGACACACCTTTAGAATTAAAAGAACTCAGAAATTGTAAAGTGAAATCAACTTTCAATGTCTTGAAAACATGAAAGTCAACTATGAAAGAAGTCCCATATCCGGAGTCATACTTTTCCAGAAATACTAAAAAAAAATTGAAAGATCCAGAAATACTAATTTTGGTTTCGACAAGTACAAACAGTTTAAATGGATATGTTAGATGGTTAATGGCAGGGGCAGATCTAGCATTTCAATTCTGTGTGGGCCAAAAAAATGTAATACATAATTACATATAATATAACTTCAAGTGGTTCATCTTTAATAGGTTTAAAGTATCTCTTAAAAGCTATCTTCATTATCTTCTTCAACTCAACAACAGATTTCAAGTTTTGTTGCACAACAGCTTCAAAACTTGGAATTCCTGTACGTGAAATAAGCCTATAAAAATAGTTACAATAAACTGTTGCTTTTTACATCATAAAAGCAATGTCGCACTACATCAAATTTATTGATTAAAACACAAACTAAGGGAGTGTTTGTGATTGCTTGTGCTTTTTAAAAGTGATTTTTTTAAGAGATTATTGGAAAAGTGATTTATAGTAAAAGTAGGTAGTGTTTGGGAATAGAAGTGATTTAGTTAAAATGTAAAAGTGGGAGTGTGATAAAAAAGTGATTGTGATGTAAAAAGTTGGGGGTTTAGAGATTTTGTTGTCATTATTATTATCCATAAAGTTTGAGTTATTTACAAGTATACCTAGAAGCACTTAGAAGCTGGTATATTTCAACTTCTAGCTTTTAACTTTAAAGCACTTTTTTTAATTAGAAGTTGGGATTAGAAGTACTTATTTAGCTTGTTTTAATCCAAATGCTTAGAAGTACTTATTTAAAGTTATAGCACACACTCCTTAAATACAACATATGCACTTCACCTTAGCCTATGTACACGTATACAGTTATACTACACTATGAGGTTGATTGGTAACACTGAAATTGGTTGAATCGGCTGGTCCTGCTGAAATTTATGAAGTTCTGGCTAAAGAGGCTGATTCTGATTGAATTGGCTAATTCTGTTGATTTGAAAAATAAAATAAAATATTTTTTATTAGGGAAAAGGGGCAAATAAGCCCTCGAACTAACCAAAAAGTGCAAATCACCCCTTTTACAGGAGGCTCTGTCCAGCTGTCGCCATTTAGGGTGGTTACCGGTGGAATTTTTTGATGCTTTTTTTTTAGCATCTTCTTCATTAAATCTAGTTTACTCATACCAAATTTAAGCTAAAAGTGCAATCGGGAAGCCAGTCAAATAATTGTTTGAAGATAACTGCGCAGTTAAACAGCGCAATATATTTCAGAAAATCATTTGAGTGACTTCCCGGTTGAATTTTTAGCTGAAATTTAGTATGGGTAAACTAGAGTTAATGAAGAAGATGCTCAAAACAATTCATCAAAAAATTCCACCGGGAACCTTCCCAAATGGTGATGGCTGGACAGAGCCTCCTATAAAAGGGGTGATTTGCACTTTTTCGGTTAGTTCGAGGGCTTATTTGCACCTTTTCCCTTTTTATTAATAAAATAAAGAAAAAGTTATATGAAAAAATAGCTAAAATGGACATCTACACTAACTTCAGTCAATGGAGCCAAAAGAGTAACTTCAACCTTACTTATTTTGATTAGTACACAATTCAGTGCGTGAAATCAAAAGTTACGTGTTTAGGGAAAAGGTTGATTGATCAAGCTGATAAGCCGATAAAAAGACTCTATATGTTACAAATATAAACATTCTTCCTGGCATTTCATAAATCATGAGGTATCTTCTTTCTATCATACCAAATGTTAAGGATGAAGTCATAAAACGCATGATTTAAAATATACTGAAGCAATCACACACACACTATCTCGATCAATTATAATGTTCTACATTTGGATTGCATGAAAGTGTAAATGTGCTACATAGATAACTAGACAAATCGCATGTTTTGGACATAAGCGGATCACTTAATCAATCCATGCATCATAAATTAATACTCCGTTATGAAATAGACTACGAAGGTAAAGAAGAAACCATAAAAATTAATGTATTTACTGATTTTTAAAGTAAATGTGCTGCATAAATTCATCAAATATTCTGGACGTTAACAACTCAATTGATAACTTCTAGCATACTATATTTATTTGGAAAGGCTCAGAATAAGACACCTCAATTCTTCAAAGCCAGGGGTGTTGTCTTATTTTTTGCGTTCACGAGTCAGGCTGAAGTTGCAATTCCCCAATTGCCCATCGGCAGGCTGGTCCCCATAAAAGGGGACCTTGTGCGATAAAAAATAGGGCCTTCCTTTCCAACACAAGAAGATATAAAACATAAATAAAGATGACTATAGTGATGAATTACTGACTATGTAGCACCGATACCGGTACGCGAGATCGCGGAAACGCGGACACGGATACGGCGATACGGCAAAACAAAAAAAAGTAGGATACGGATACGGGGCCATATTTATAAATATTAAAAGTTATGGGGGTGTATTTACAAATATTAAAAGTTACAGGGGTGTATTTATAAATATTAAAAATAGATTTTTTTTGGAAATATACATATAATATCCTATGAAATATACAAAAAAAAAAAAAAATTTTGGATATATATATATATATATATATATATCCTATATTCCTATATACACATATATACCCATTCATTACATATACATCATAATATTTCTCATATACACTAGTGCATCTCAAAATACTTAAGATAGAAAACAATATTTTAAAAGTTCTAACTTCTAATACATATTTTCACTGGAAATATTAATTTCCAGGAATAATATCATCTTCCAAAAAAACGGCCTCCAATTCTGGTTCATCTATGGAGAGGTTGGCAAACTCAAGTACTCCTATATCCTCCATGCTCCCAAAATCATCTCCACCAACATCCCACATTTTACTTTTGTCATTCGTATACTGCTTAGAAGCTCGTGATAAAAGACGAAGATTGTTATGAACAAATACCAACTTACCACATTTACATAAATTCAGAAATGTTCAAGCTCTCAGGCTTATTTTTTTCTCATGCTAGGATGCCTAAAAATCCTAAAAATCCAATTCACTGAACCATTAATCTACTATCCATAAGCCATAACTGTTCACTAATACGAATTCTTCATGTATATGCTTGTATGAAAGAACTCAACTATTGTATTAAAGGTTGATTTCAAAGAAATAAATTAGAAGAGGATGACGGAGGATTACCTAGTTTTAGACAGAGGACGACGGCAAAGGACGGCGTAGCTGATATGTAGACGGAGGATGACGGCGTAGCTGATAGTAGGCGACGGATAGACGGCTCCCTTCAGCTTTTCAGCATTGTCCGCACTCCGCAAGTCCGCAGCGGCTTGCTCTGTTTAGTTGCTTGCGAAGAGGATGAGGCAGGATTACCTAATTTTACATTTTTACTAGCATATTGGACTTGGGCAATTGGGCCAAATCATGTATCTAAATAGAGAACATGGGCTTGTCAAAATTTTATATAATAAAATTAATAAAATGTAGTTTTAGATTTTCATTTTTTTTAGAATTTTATTAAGTAAATTTTGGTTTTTTTTTTCAAAAAAGTTGATACGGGTATCCGTCAGGATACGAGTATCGAAAACTTTCAAAAAAATACAAAAAAAAATGGAAACTTTTAAAAATTACAGATACGGCCCGGGAACGTACGGTACGGGTATCCTAGAGTATCGGATACGGGAACATATCCGATACGCTGATACGCTACCCCAGGTAAGTATCCGTGCTTCATAGATTACTGATAATTTATGCCACAATACAAGTTACTAATGAACTATTAATTGTAAACCCAAAAAAATACTTATAAACTATTAATGATTAGTATAATCTAATATATCATAATTAAACCAATGTGTTGAGTATAATTAGTTTAATTACATAAATAAATACGTAGTAAATAACAACCTAATTTGTTATATTCGATTATGAATTATTCAGGCCTAGGAAATAACTAAAACAAGAAACATAATAAATAACTAAAACAAGCAATTTAAAAAAAAAAACTAAAACAAGCAACTGCAAGTAATGTTCAAGAAGATTAACAATAAATGAGAAATTTAATATAATAATATTTTATATACTTAAAAGAGAAAACTTCACCTGGTTCAGCGAGCCTACGAGCGCCGAGCGGAATCACCTATTCAACAGAATGGAGGCTTTAGGTAATCCTCCTGGACTTGTCAAACCTTTGTCGCTGCAGAGCAAATTGCCGATTGGGGGAATGTGGAAAGGTGTCGATTGATTATTTAATTGATTTTCTTGGGCTGCTGCAAATTAATATTTTGGGATTGGGCAATTGAATGTCCGAAATGCACAGACTGCTTCTACTCTTCTCTAGCTTTCTTGCACAGGCGCTGCTAATACTACTGTTTTAAGGGGGCCTGTGCCACTGGGCTGGGTGCCCCTGCTGTGGACCGGTCCTTCCCGTCGGATTCTTCTACGCGCTGCGGCCTGCTCCGGCAATCGAAGATGACGTCCGGGGACCGTGGTGCCTGGGCGATGAAGAAGAGTTAGCAACGCGGATGAAGACCGATTTCTGCTCGTTCATTCTTAGAATAAATTCAGTGGTCTACTTATTTGATTTTAACCATTTTATAAATGATCCTCTGTTTAAAAATCGCATGAAACAAATTTTAAGTATTCACTTAAAATTGATCATAAATAATAATATGTGAGAATATTGGATACAATCTTTAAATATGAATCCTCTGATTCTTCACTTGCAATTTGAAATGAATATAATTAAAAAAATCAATTCAAAATTAAATCTTTAATCCTTCAAACGTTCAAACGTTCTTCAGATCTTCAAATCTTCGTTCTTGAGATCTTCGAATCTTCGAATCTTCGTTATTCGGATCTTCAAATCTTCTTGAATTAAGAATTCAACTTAAAGGACCTCCGGTTTTCAAGTGGCTTGATCTTCAACAAAAAGGCCGTTTTATGGCTTGATCTTTTGTTTGAGGGCCTCCCGGGATATATGGCTTGATCTTCAATTGAATTTCAATTCAATCTTCATATTTGTATATTCAAATCTTCAAAGATTCGTTCTTCATATCTTCGAATCTTCAAAATCTTGTTTTTCAGATCTTCGAATCTACGAGTTTCATTCTTCAGATCTTCGAACGTTCTTCAACTTTTGGATTTATTTTATTAAGAATCGACGAAATCACGAAGGATTATTCATATATTCTTAATAAAATTTGTGGTTTGATCTATTCCTCTTCTTCGGAATCGTTCAGAGCCTTTCGGGAGTTCTTGAGAGCTTTTCTGCAGCGTTTCTTCGTATGAAAAATTCTCTCCTTTCCTCTCAATTGAGACCCCTATTTATAGGTGCGGAGGGGATCAAAATATGCTTTAGGTTTTGGAAATTCGTCCATATCCCTTGGGCCTCAAATAAAATGGGTTTTGGGCTCTATTTGCTTGCATTTAATAGCCAGAAGAATCAGCATTTGTTCGATGTATCTGGACAGCCTTTTTAACAAAGTTCGCAGCCATTTTCCATGCATATGGATGGATTTCTTAACCATATTCATTGCTCTGTTTGTCAATTGGATCATGACTCTTATTCATTGGGATACTATTTAATAATGGGCTCAAAATAAAAATAAAATAAGACCGGTCCATTGTTTTTAAAGATTTAATTTATAATTAAATTAATTGGATATTTAAATGACCCAAATTAATTCAATTATTAAATTTTATCCGAATGGGTCCATATTAATATTTCTATAAGGCCCAACAACCATCACAGCAGCCCAACAGAATCAAACGTTGACCCAATAATTTTATTATGTCCACAGCAACATTTAGATTTTGTATTATTTACACATATTACTTTGAGTCTTTTACTAATGAAAGAATGGCCTCTATATTACTATTACACTTTGGAATTCCAAAAACAGGATTCCTTTTTAGTTTTCCCAAAAAGTGACCTCAGTCATTAATGTCGTACGTCTATCCAATTTCAACGCACCTGTTTTGGCTTTCTTTCCGTCGTTTTGCTCTCTTCCATTAACGTCATCAACGCACTTGCTCATTTTCTACCACCTTCATCTCTTTTCTTAATATTTTTCCTCTTCGACGGTATATCTCTCCTTCTCTCGACGGTGCTACATCTCTCTCGCATTCGTTGAATACCAAAAAGGAATCGTTTGACACTCACAGGTAAGCAGTAGAAGTTCTGCTAATTTTTTGCGAATATCATGTTTAATATACGATTTCTTTACAGTTTCTACTCTTATTTTCGATTTCCATGTCTTTCTCACTCTAAAACCCTAATCTAGAACTCCAATATGGGCAATTCAATGCATAAAAAATAAACATTACTTCATATTTGAATATGTCTTTGGCTTCTGTGTTCATGGTTCTTGCATGTTGTTTTTTTGCCTTTAAATTAACTTAAATGTGTTATTCATTTGTTGCCATGATTTTTTTCTGAATGATTTGTTGTTGTTTTGGTCTCGGAGTCTTTTTACCCTTTTTGGACTCAGATTGAATTTAGTTAATATTTCATCAACGTTTCATGATTCTGATCTGGACTTCAATTGCAATTATTATGGTTGTTGTTTTTGTGAAATGAGCGTTTGTACTCGCGTGTAGCACATGTTTGTTCAAATTAACAATTACATTTTGCTTAGTGATGAATGTCAAGTAGTCACTTAGCATTCAAAACTAGTCTATATTCAGGACAGACATATAAGTTTTTTGTTTTCACTTTGTTAGTTCAAGTAGGAACCATTTGAATTTGTTAGTCCAATCAACCAATTACCTTGTTCTTACTCCTTCCTTACTTAACACCATCAGGGAGTGTTACAAGTGTAGTATTACGACTCACTACTGACTTTTCATACTGGGCTTCTGCATAGTTGACTGTTGCTTGGTCTTCTACTAGTCATTACTAACTTTCATACTGGTATTTAGTAACTGAACTTAGTAACTGATATATACCTTCACATGTACAAGTACACACTTCACACCTCATATGTACCACAAGTTCTGTATTTCTACTCACTACCAACGTTCATACTTGTTTTTAGTAACTGAGGTGTGAAAGTGATACATACATACACAGTTACACGTACATACTTCACACCTCATATGTACATCAAGACCAGAAATACAATGTTGCAAATCTGTACTTCCTCCTTTTCAAACATCACAGTTATTTGTATATTTTTTATTTCGTCCTTTGTGTAGTGATGGGTGACAGTGACTTCGAGTCCACAGATCCCCTTGTACTTTCAGCTTCTAATGCCTGCATAACGAGGAATTAGTAAGTTTATTTATCTTATATTCATTTTCTATATCACATCACATAAACAATTAATATACCACTTTTTCGTAGTATGCAGTATGACTATGTGCTTGTGTTAATATGTTTTCAGACAGGCAAAAGATATTTGGACAAAGCCATTGTGAATGTCGATTTAAAAAGGACGGTCAATACCTTGTGTTGGTTGTATGATGCCATCAATCTAGTTATGTCTAAATTACTTCCTAATCAGGTAGAACTATTTAGGAAAACTGTTTTTGGGAAATTCCTAGATGCCAAGGAGATGTTATGTTCCGGGCTACTTTTGCATTTTCTTCTGGGTAACTTGCTTGACGTTGAAGTAGGCAACAAGCAGTGTCCTAGGGATTTCGTTTTTGAAATTGATGGTAGGAGGGTAGTGTTCTCTATATCTCACTTGGCTGAAATTTTTGGATTCAATGTCGTTGATAACATTCCTCAAATAGACAATGAAGTCACTGACAGGGGTCATATATGGGAAAAATACTTCCCCTCTTGCTCTAAATCTGTAAAGTGAAATGCTATTAAGCAAGTCTTACAATCTATAAAAAGGGGTAGTGTGTCGGGTAACGAAATCCTTCACCACCACAACAAACTAATTCTCATGAAACCACAGTACATGTGCCTTCGGACATGTGCAGGGAATGATGAATTGGGGTGGACTCAAGCCATTGACATTGCATATGATATGCTCGAGGGGAATGTAAGTCCTTCATTTTATGATGTTAATTGTTGAGTAAACCACCATACCACTTCAATATTCAGTTACTTTGCACTAATATTTTTATCTTCTTTGTTTTCAAGCAGGTCACTGCATGCTTACCACAGACCGATCGATGCACGCCACCGGCTGTGAAGGAGACAACAGCACCCTCAGTAGGACCTCTTTCCAAAAACAAATTAACAACATTTACATATTACATTTACATACCTCTTACACACACTTTTTTTACGACAAATTACTTTGTTTGTGGAGGTTTCCAAACACGATAAGTTTCAAACAGGCTCAGCTGATAGGGGATGCTCTTACGGCGCTACTGAAATCAGTTTCAATAATATGGAGGTACATATTTTCTATAACACAAACTTTTCATCAACACATATTTTTTCAGAAATATTTCATTTACGTAATGTAATTATTATTCATCTAAGTCACTCCGTACTCACCAGTTACCCAAACACACTACATGAATCACATCTAAGGCATTTCTTACCCACAACCTACATACCATGCACCTCTACTCCACTTCAATAGTAACGCGTACACATCATTGTTTCAAACAGGTGACCGATTACAACCCTCACTTTAAGGCCTATGCCAAAGAGGTTGTCCGCGAGACACCCTGCCACTTAGTAACATATGTATCTGCCTTAATCATCACCTCATTTCAATTATTAATTTCAACTCACACACCACCATGTCTCTCACTTTAATCATGCTCATTATGCACCTACACAATTTTATATAATCCAAACCTCATGCATAAACAAACATCACATCTATTTCCAGATCCCACCACCAAGTCAACCAATGTGTGAAATTGTTAATATGCCTGTCACTGATGCACCTGTTACTAAAGTGCGTTCATTTTTCATCCCTACCATTTCAAATTCACTTATTAACCTTTTCTTCACAACTTAGTAACACAGATTACACCTAACCTCTCATGTTTTAGGTCGAATCAGTCTCACTTCATAACTCTGTCTCAATGAATGTGCTCTCACAAGTTAACAACCGCCCAAAACGCAAAGTTGTCGAACCCTCTCGCTACACACCAGAGTCACAGGCTATTAAGAAAACTAAGCAATCAACTGCTCCCTCCACTGCGAACCCACTTGCTGGAAGCCCATTCACTTTGATCACAAATTCTACTAAACGACAAGAATTTCACAAATACATGATGAAGGGTATCATTAGAGGTCAGCGGTCTGCTAACAATGTCCACCATTACATGCTCGACGTCGACAAAGACTTCTTGCTTGAACTGGATCCTGGGTTGATTATTGAATGTAAGTCATGGCTATATAAGTTGTATCAATCTGGGTAGTGGCTAGATGCAACGGTATGCACAACAATGTCTACTCTGTCATAAATGTTTCGGTAATTATTTATTGGTCTCTATCACTATGATTGACTACATTTTATTTTTTGTCGTCCTTCTTTTGCACCATGTCAACTGCATTTTTTTCTACCTCCGTATGAAAGGCAAGCCATTAGGTTGGCCTAACACATTCTCCACTGCAGACAGTCTATTCACAGAACACCTTAACTCCCT